TGCCTTCTTCACATAGTAACCCCAGAGGTTAGGTTGCTTTCCCCACACCAAATAAACCAAGAGGTTAGGTTCCCTTTCCCCCCACACAGTAGCCCCAGGGGTTAAGGTGCCTTTCCACACAGTAGCCTCAGAGGTAAGATGCCTTCCCCAAACAGCTCCAGGGGTTTAAAGGTGCCCTCCCCCCACAGCCTCAGAGGTAAGGTGCCCTCCCCACACAGCCTCAGAGGTAAGGTGCCTTCCCCACATAGCTCCAGAAGTAAGGTGCCTTCCCCACATGGTACCCCCCGAGGTAAGGTGCCTTTCCCACACAGTAGCTCCAGAGGTAAGGTGCCTTCCCCACACGGTGCCTTTTCCATGCAGTAGCCCATAGGTGAGGTGCCATCCCCACACTGTAACCCAAGAGGTTAAGTTGCTATCCTCACAACAGTTAGCCCCAGAGGTATGGTGCCTTTCCCACACAGTAGCCCCGAAGGTAAAGTGCCTTCCCCACACAGTAGCCCCAGAGGTATGGTGCCTTCCCCACACAGTAGCTTCAGAGGTAGATAAATGCTTCTCATGCAGTAGCCTCAGAGGTAAGTAGATAGGTACCTTCCCACATTGTAACCTTTTAGGTAGGTAAGGTGTGACTGCAAATATGTTTTGTACTACTATTCTTTTCTTACAAGTCTCAAAATGATAATATTTTTCCACCAGTTGACAGAATACTACTAAGTCATCAAAAACCCCATGGCTCTTGAAATTGTAAAGCGAAAACTTGTACCAGACAGCCCTCATCATTATGAGGGTCTTGAAGACTTTGTACGTGACATCCGATTAATCTTCAGAAATTGTTATGAGTTCAACCCAGTAAGTAGCCTTAAAGATTTATGAAAAAATAAATTTAATAATTTTTTTAATGTTCTTCAGAAGGTTTATAAATTTAAAGCTACTGTGACATTTGCATGTTGTATTGGTATTTTCATGTTGAATTCATAATCACACAAAAACAAATTTGCTCTATCTCTCAGATAATAAAAATATAACCAGGAATGATTGATCATGGCTTACTGTGTCCCAATAATTGAGTCAAACCTATTAAAAGCCCATAAAACAGACTAGGAGGTGTAAGGAGGCCTTACCAGTCCTCAGGAAAATAGGCAAAAATTTAATATTTCCATTACTTTGAGATCAATATCAGGCTGCTACTTCTCCTGAAACCAACTAAAATAATCTCTTTTTCAGTAGTATATCTTCTGATCCGTTCAAGACACCAAATAACAGCCAATAAAACTCTAAAAGCCATCAAGAAAATGCCTGAAAGTTGCTACTTTAAACCATACCACACTTTAAACCTATCATGCACCGTGTGGGGCAGGATTCTTTTATGCTGTGCACACTCATGGCACAGACCCATTCTCTCAAATCTAGGTAAAATTTACCACTCATAGCATATCTGAATGAAACTGAGCTCATGACGTAGAACTACGTGAGGGAACCCCTGACCACAATGACATAGTTCAAAGTGGCAGTCATCGAAAGAGAGTTAAAAAATAGTATCCTTACTGTGAAAGACTGATTCACCTACTCTTTCCCAATCATATATTATAAGATCACCTTGTTTCTTTATTAATTTAAAATGCATATTTTTTTCTTTTAACCCTTTCAGGGACCGTCCCGTAGATCTATGGCTTTATGTTCAGGGTCCAAACTGTAGATCTACGCCATGAGCTCAGCTCACTCTGATAAGCTGTGAGTGGTAAATTTGGGCCTAGTATGAGAGAATACATCTATGTGGTATGTGTGCACCACATAAAACAATCCTTGCAGCACACAGTGTATAATGAGATAAAAAAAAAACTGAAACCGTGATTTTCGATTAAAACAGCGACTTTGCAGTGTTTTTTCGTATGTTTTTTATAGTTGTATTTGCGATTTCTTTGTCTCATTTGATAGAATGGAAGACATATTACAGAAATGGAGATGATTTTGATTGGTTTTAGTACTGGAAATGGCTTGAAAACTGAGCTCAAAGTAGCGGAAATGTTAAATTTTTGTCGATGTTCAAGAGTAAGCAAACGACCTCACATGTCTAATACACGCCAGCTGGTGGGTCTAATATACATTCCAAATGTGAGGATGATATTTATACAATTATTACAATATTGCATAACAGTAAATCTTTTATTTTTTTTTTTGAATAAAAATTCATTATGTGAAACAAAAATCAAAATGGAATTCATTTGTAAAGCCTGAAAAACATAACTAAAGAGCAGAGAAATGTTAGTTTAGTGCCAGGAATGCCTGCATTGTTTATTTTGGACCCTATTTTGAAATGGAATACAGTGGACCCCCGCTTTATGATCACCTCCCAATGCGACCAATTATTTAAGTGTATTTATGTAAGTGCATTTGTACGTGTATGTTTGGGGTCTGAAATGGACTAATCTAATTCACAATATTCCTTATGGGAACAAATTCGGTCATTACTGGTACCTGAACTACTTCTGGAATGAAAAATATCGTAAACCGGGGTCCACTGTATTTTGAACTTTGTGTTAAATTGGCCAAATTACCAATTTCCGATCACTTTATTTTGTAGTTGAACAGTTGACTGAGCGATTTCTTGTGCTCAGTCGATAGAATAGAAGTAATACTAGTGAAATAGCTAAGAATTTGGTCGACTGGAATAATGTAATTGGCCTAAAATGGGAGTCAAAGTCAGTAAAATTGCCGATGCTTGAATATTGCTGACACATTAAAATTCGCGAGCAGAATTTCGTCAATTTTCCATCAAATTTCGTACTTTTTGTTTTATTACCTTCAGAAAAAGATTCTCTACCATTTCATAAGAAGAAATAACAAATTTTTTTTTTGAAAATTCTGGACACTGGTGCACCCTTTGAAATTTGGCCTCTGGACCCTGAAAAGGTTAATTCACTCCTTTGTCACTTTTCCCTCAGACACTAAAACAAACTGGAATACCATATAAAATATGCCTTGATTTTATTCATACATTCTAACCTGTCATGAATATTATCTATTTTTATGTAACTTATTTAATCTCCCTACAACGTTTACAGAAAGACACAGAAATATACCAGAATGCTAAGATCTTGGAGGACTTCTTCGAACAGTTGCTAGAAAAGTGGTTGACAGACTATGCTTTTGATGCCATGGACACGCTGGATGAACCAGATACCCCAGAGCCAAAGAAGAAAAAAAAATGAAGGAAGGTGATCCATTACTTCATATTCACTGAATCATGTTACTGGATGATGTTTCACAAGCACATTATTTGGTCAAGATTTTTGCAAGTGTACTAAAGTGTATTTGCTATGTATTGCTCTCAGCATGCTTGTCTTGGGACACTATTTGGTGTTTTAATAAATGCCTACATACCTCTTTCACTGTAAAGAGTGTCTTGAAAGAGTAAGACAGAAGGCAAGCACAAGGTCAGATGAGCTGTGTAGGATGTATTTTTTTATTACATGTATTTGATGTCAGAAGGACTGCATCACTCTTCAGTTTTGGAGAATCTCTTATTCCCAAAATTTGGTTACTATTCTGTTAAATTATTCTTCACACAGAGCCAGAAGTTTTATTCATGACCAAAGATGATCAGTAAAAGTGAGTATTTTTTAAAATTTTCTGTTTGAACGAAACAGAACTTGTAAATTTTGAACAGCAACTTGCTCAACAGCACCAAATGTCTTAGGAAAAGTTGTGTGTGTACTATCCTTTTGTAAGCATTGGAAGTAGCTTATACACAAAATATATATCTGTTAAAAGGAAACTTGCAGACATAAGCTATAAAAATTATTAAATTATATTATTTAAGAAAAGTAGGCTTTAATTATTTTTTAATTAATGAGTGATTTATCTTATCTAGTATTTCCTGTATTAAAAATTTAGACTTTTTCTATTGCAAGAAAATGAGCTTGGTATGTAGAGCGGTTTCCCCTTGAAGATATTAATTTGGCAGCCAGAGCTATAATATTTCATCTCAAAATGTAGTATATACATTTTTGTTGAATTTTTTTCATGCATTTCTTTTGCATTTTTGGAAGATGAAACTCATGAGATTCATTTCACAGTTTGGATAGTACCAGGTATGTGCATTGATATAGATGGCTATTTTGATGTGGATTATTTTACTCTACCCCCAGTATGACTAAATTTAATAAAAAAAATATTTACATAATATTTTATATTTAATCATAAATCTGTTTTTATTATATTAATCATAAATCTGTTTTAGTCATGGAACAGCCAAGCTGCAGTTGGCACTCCAGTTTTTTTGCATCAATTAATATATTCCAGTTAAAATTTATGTATTTTGTTAGTGGCTTAAGTGGACATGCACAATAGTATATCATTGTTATATGATACCTGTACAAAATTGATGAATAATCACTGATAAAAAAATATAATCCAGTTCATTGTTAAACTTTATCCACCTCTAATGAAATGACATTCTTTAAAACAGATGGGATCCAGTGATATGAGCTTTCAAGTTGTTGCTGGGCTTACTGAGTAGGTTGGTGTCATTGCATTATGCAAAACCAGGAAAAAAAATAATTTGACTAACACCCCTATTAATCAGCACTAGAAATATCTGTAAGATTTGACTCCAAATTTTAAACATGGTTCACCACCGTATAGCTGCATGAAAATTTTTTTTAAAAAAGGATTTGAGCATTATTTGTGTCTTGAATACATGAAGGTTTAAAGATGGTAACTAGAAGTTTTGGGAGAAAGTTCTGCATATACCACTCTGTACTGAAAATATGGGAAATAACTTACATATAATGGACTTTCTGATTAAAAGAAAACCGGAAGACAGATAAGCTATCACTATATTAATGATGAGGCATTACTGAAATATTTATTGCTTTAATTTTCTTTAGCATTGAAAGTTAGTAATTTAGTTTTGTTATAATGAGAGCAGTATATGCTACTGGATGCACATTACACAGTTTAGCTCTGTGAGCTTTTCTTTCAGTTAATAGGCCATAACATTACATATAATTCATCAGCGGCTTTAGCAAGAGACAAGTTATGACTTATGAATAAGTTTCATTAAGCCGAATTATACTGCATCATTCAAAAACAGTTCTGGTAAGTGCCAATCATGTATTTCATAAAAAATAATTTGATTATTATGGTTGCTTGATCATCTTTGAAGATATATACATGGAAAAAATCTTGAACTCTGACATCTGAAGAATGAGCTGGTTCTCCTTTATATTTTATAAGCTGTAAGATATTGATGCCTTAACTAGCTGTCATCATTTTTCACTTTATTATTCTTGTCCAAGTTCTTCATTGTGTATAAGATTATTATATGCTTGAGGCATCAACTAAACATTACTCTGATAGGTGCAATGTACCCTGTGGGCATCCTCTTTATTATGATAAGGCCAGAAAACGAAAACGTGATGAATGTGCTCCTGCATACAGTATTACTTGATATTAAGAACTAGGTGAGATCTTCAACTTTGATGTGCTCTTGGTATAAAAATATTTCCCTCATGGCAAACTGTTAACTCAGAGTTACTGAAATTCTTAACAGTCAGTGTGCTATGTTACTTACTGGAACCTCTAGGAATGCAAGTTAAAATTACCACAACATCTGGATGAAAATGTATTCCACAGGAAAAATAAATACAAGCTAATGTTTTAGTGTGTGGTCATGAAAGATACATAGTATGGAAAACTTTTTGGATAGGGCCTTTGTTTGTTTTGTACATATTGTCTTTACCTTTTTTGGAAAATGCAAAAAACAGGAGAGGACTAGTTTTGTAATATAGTATTGATTATTGCTCTCATTGCAGGGCAATCACTTTTCCTGTATTTATTTTCATACCTCACTGCATATTGAAGTGCATGATAGCTATGTCACTGTGACTGATTTGAATACAGTACAATATTCAACATTTTATCTAATCTTCAGAAATAATGGTTACAAATTTTGTCATTTTTTGGTTTAATGAGCATAACTCACCAAATTATGTGTTGTCTAAATAAACTGCAGCATTTCTGTGTCCAGGGGGAGGTGTAGTTATCCTGACTGATAAATGAAATACTATATTTTGTTTTGCGTACTTATTGTTATAAAATATTACAAAAAAGGTCTTTAATGTATACATATGAAATGAAAAAAAAAGTATGTTTGCTTTTTCAGCGGTGGAAATTATAAGTATCTGTACCTTTATTTGCTTCCCATATGTTATTTGCATCTAGTGACTCAGTGCTAGGACAAAATTATTTACATTAGAATATTCCAATTACTATTGTACAGAATCTCTCTGACTATTTAATTCTTTTTCAATGTGGTATTACACCATTCTGCCAATCAGGTTTCATCAAATGTGACATTTTTCATTCATCTTTTCATCCTTAAACCATAATCTTTAAACCCCTCATCTGTAGGCAAAATTAAGTATTGTAATTTATATTGAATTCAGTGCCACACTGGCATTAGATGACAATGTTAGTGGAGTAGTAATGATGTAATTGTTCATTCATTAAATGACCAACACGGTGTGATATCTAATCTTGCAAAATTATGATTAGACTTATGACTTCTTATTTTATTGCTTTTTTAATATTTTAGGGCTGATATGACTTGTGGTGTCTTGCACGGGTCACAAGCATTGGGTGCAGCTTGTTGTATATAGCAAAAGCCAAAACATCTGGTTATTAATAACTATTTAAAACCTGTAACTGAAATACTTGGTCAGTTTGATGGAATAGTCAACATTATTTTCTAATGAATTATGTGAAGAGTAATAAACTATTGAAGAATGTGTTGACTAACATTAGAAACTTTTAACATGCTTTCTGCCCTCATGTAGTGCATGTAAACAGCATTGTAAATGTAGCAGTTATGAATTTTCTCTATTTGTATAGATTTTTTTCATCTGCTGCTGTTCTTGAAGGTAGATCATGCCCCCGAGATTAATTATCAGAAGAAATGACACGTCATTTTACCATGATAAATATTGGCTACATGTATTTACCTGAGTTTTTCCTTTTGTCATAAGACTGAAACCTTAAACTCTCATGGAAATGCTGTACTGGAGGATTATAGAGTAGGACTTGGTTGCATCCTGTATTTCAGAACTGTAATGGAATATATTGCAGCTCTTTATTATAAATATATTTAAGCCTCTGGTTGATGTTTTAATTTATACATTACTTTTGACTTTTGTATATTTACAAGACAACAGCTGTTGAATATGTGAGGGTAAATGCTGCAGCAAGGAGGAGGCTGGAGGCAGTGATGTCATGTCTAAGGGCAATGTGTTGTGTAAATATTATGCAGAGAATTTGTAGTGTGGAAATTAGGAGATGTGGAGTTACTAAAAATTATTATTCAGAGGGCTGAAGAGGGGTCGTTAAGGTGGTTTGGCTATTTAGAGGAGATGGAGCAAAATAGGATGACTTGGATGCATAATCTGTAGTGGAGGGGAAGAAGGGGATGAGTTGTCCTAGGAAAGGATGGAGGGAGGGGGTAAAAGAGGTTTTGTGTGCAAGGGGCTTGGACATACAGCAGGTATGTGTGAGTGTGTTAGATAGGAGTGAATGGAGACGAATGGTTTTTGGGACCTGACAAGCTGTTGGAGTATGAGCAGGGTAATATTTTGTGAAAGGATTCAGGGAAACCAGTTAGCCAGACATGAGTCCTGGAAGTGGGAAGTACAATGCCTGGGGTATTGGCTGTTTGGAGTGACATCTAAACTGTTATATCAGAGAGCCTCTGCAAAGTGCTCCTTCTTTATGTTCTTAAGACAGTGATTGTGTGTAAATGATGGTGAAAGTGTTTTTTTGGGTCACCCTTGCTCGGTGGAAGACGGCCAATGTGTTAAATTTTTTTTTTTTTTTTTTGTCAACCTACCTTAGTGGAAAATGGCCATTATTTAAAAAATAAATAGCTTTTTTTGCTAGATATAAAATATAAAATTGGACTTGTTTTCCTTCGAAGGAATTAAAATATTCTGCCCTTTTTGTATTTTTTAACTCTAGATACACTAATTAGCTTCTTTAAACAAACCGTCCGTATCCCAACTAGGCCCGGGTGGTCCAAATATAAAATTAAAAGTTTCTCTTTTTAAATTTAGTAATTTATACAGGAGAAGGGGTTACTAGCCCCTTGCCCCCGGCATTTTAGTTGCCTCTTAAACATGCATGGCTTACGGAGGAAGAATTCTGTTCCACTTCCTCA